CCAAACTGAAACCTGAAGTGAGTCCTACAGGCTCCAAACTGAATCTGAAGTGAGTCCTGCAGGCTCCAAACTGAACCTGAAGTGAGTCCTGCAGGCCCCAGACTGCAACGTCATGGAGCATGTGTCACATCATCTGCTCACTTTCAGCCCATCTGCAGTGACTCAGAGTCTGAGCCAGGGAGAGCAGCGAGCCCCTGCTGTACATTGCTGGGGGGGGGGCGGTCTGTCTGTCACACGCTCCCACCCACGAGCTCGCAGGCCGGGCCCCCAGCAGTAGCAGAGGTAGCCAACGGCAACGCTGGCAAATGACACGTAGCTCTGCCAGACTGAGACCTGCAACCCCGCAGGTGTGAATCCCCATATTCCTCACTGTCGGATGGAAATTAAACGGAAGAGGAAAGGGTCCACGCGCCCACCTCCCCAGGCACACTTTACATCCCAGCTGTGTTTGGTATGTGAGCAATTACTCACATTTTGAGGGTCAAGACACTGAAATTCAAATCTGCTGTCCTTCATATTTGGCCCAACTGCACTGAAACTCTGCCTTTGGGTTTAGAGCAGAAACGAATCTGCAGGGAGCCGCAGAAACGCGCCCTGTTTCAAAATGGAGGAAGAGGACGGCCAGACACCTGGGGTGTCCCCTGGGGGGGCCTGCATCTGTGGAGAAGCTGCCCACCTCCCCCGGGAGACGACCGCTTCTTGTCTGATAATCGGTGGGATTTTATCGTGGGGTAAAGATATGGAGATGAAGAGCAAGCCAAGCACCCCCCCCCCACAAACAGAGGACAGACTGAGGCTGTACATGGTGTCTACAGGCAGCAGCCATAAGCCTCTGAGTAGTCCTCCCGTTCACTTAGCTGTCATCTTCATCTTCATCATGATGATGATTACTGGTCTAGTGTAGCTGGTTAGCCAGTGAGGAACAGAAAACACCCCCCACCCAGGCTCATCAGCTGGCCCATCATTCATACGATGAGTTCAAAACCCTCCCCCACCTCAAAAAGAAACGAAGACTTGCTCCAAATGCCAGTTGCTTTCCTCCTTGAATGAAGCGTATATTTAAAAATAGAGAAACCGGGCACCGTGTAAATCGTACAACACAACTGCTCTGTTTAACGTCAAAAAAAAACTGTTTTTGGAAGTGGAACCCCCCCCCCCCCGGGATAATATGACTGCAGCGTGAACAGATGGACTCGCGGTGTGAGAGGAAAGTCTGGAGTCAACACACGCTAACTTCCCAAAGAGAGCTGGTGGGGGGGGGCTGCCTTTGCAAAGCAGCAGCGTGCCGGGGGGGCGCCCCGCTCCATTCAGCCCCCGTCTCTCACCAACCTCATGGCTAAACACAGCTCTTTGGGCCCCGCCACTGCCGGGGGGGGGGGCGAGCCTGACGGAGCCGAAAGCAGCACAAAGGAAGCTGCTGCGACTGTCACCCCAGCTGACGGGACAAAGGCCCCCTTTGCTGCCACCACACCGGCCCGCAACAAAGTCCTCATTATCTCAGCAGCCACCGATTCAGAGCCGTGAAGCCGGGGGATGCTGTCTGGGCCACAAGCGCACAGATACGCACAGAAAGCCAGTCGCAGGGGTCCACTGGTGGGCTGCCACACGCTGACATTATGGGGGCTTGGAGAAGGTGACGGAAATGGTTGTGCGAGACACGGTTAAGCCCCCTGTCCTCCGCCATCTCCCCAGCGCCGGGTGCCAATCCCCTGTCCTCCGGCACCTCCCCGCTATGGTGGGTTGGCTGGCTCTCCCATGCCGCGTGTGATGCTCGCTTTAATTACCGGCGCGTCGTGCGGCACCGGAGGGCAGCCTGTGCCGGTTCGTTTCCCAGGGCTGCTCTGGTGGCCTCCTTTCTGCTCCGATCGCTTGGTGTCAGGAAGCGGGGCGTCCCACTCGACACTGAGCCGGGGGGAGCTGCTAGCGGCCCTTTTCGCATGATAATGACATTCCTGGACACTGGCACTTGGCCTGGAGGTTACAATCATGAAGAAGCAGCCAGGACCCGCACTGGGGCTGCGCTGTTAAGCCATTTACACGGCTGACAAATTCAGGGAGTCTGTCAGACACATGGGCTCTGGGGAGCCCCGTCAGCCTTAGTGATGACACCGTGAGTCAACACAGTCTCAGACATCAGCACCACTGTGACACAAACCTGTACACCTCAATTTTATTTAGCAAGTTCGAAGTTTATACTTGGATAATTGCTAAGAAGCGAGTGGCTAAGCGCTCCTTCATCCTGCCTCATCTCAACGGGGTGGGCAGGTTTTTCAGAGAGCAGACATTAGTTACATCACCGTGTGCCCAGATGACTGCAGGGACAGGAAGGAGGAGCAGTTAACCAAAGCGGAGGTGTCGAATGAGAGAGCCTCCAAGCATCTTTAGATATTCAACAGCTCACCCCTGCTTGGTGCGGCCCAACCTCCTTCATTACTTACTGCTGTGGATGGATGGACGGATGGATGGCAACTTGCCAAGGAGCTGCGTTACTTAAACTGCCCACCTGTTAACAAGGTGGGGGTACTGCAGAGTACCTTTCCTGGAACGCAGTGTTCAGTGAGTGCGGGGAGGATGAGATTAGCTCCTTCATCCTCGGCCAGTCTCCAGCGATATTTTGCCGAAAAGCACAAGTTTATGTTGTGCAATTAAGGCAATGCAAGAATGCAAGAAAGTGCAGGGGAGTTCTCACGCTAATCCTGCCACGAGAAAGTTTGTTAATTAATAAAATTAATGTCTCAGTATGCCTAAATTTACGCGCTTGTTTTATCATATATAGGCTATACAACAAAAATAGAGACATCTTTATTCAGAAGACTACATTTCTAATGACGCCTGTTCTCCGTGTTACCCGGCGTTTTTAGCTATCGTTTCACTTACCCGCTATTTTCCTTTTAACGATCGATTAATAAAAACGTTGAGTGATATAGGATATAAAGTTATTTACACAAAGCAGCAGTATTTTAACAAACCAAATAATTACACAGTTGCTATCAGAATATCATGCTCTTTCAGTAATTGTTTTTTTTTGGGGGGGGGGGTGTGGGGTAAGGTACTAGACAGTGCCGAAGCCCTCCAGTTAGTGGTACATAGCGGTACATTAAAATATAAAGTGCGCGCGTGCATATGCACCCTTATAATATCTGTGGGAGGGGAAGACGTTTCTTCACTCAGCCAATGAGGATCCGGCATCCCTGCAGGATCGATTGTTGTTGCTAGGAGACAGAAGCATCCCCGACAGGTAGCGGGACCCGTTGGGTCCGTGAAGTGAGTAAGACCATCAACCCAGGCGGACCGCGAAACAGGCGACAAGTGAAAGAGGACTGTCAATGAGAAGCGCCTCTTTGCCGGATTAACAGAAAAGTACGATTTAAAGGACGGCTCGCATTTAAGAGACAGTGCGCCTTGCTGAGAAGGTATGTGTGTTATTTTGTGTAATAAATGCTTGGTCACCAGTTTGAGATGCACTGCTGATAACTTGCTGCTGGAAAGTTACTCACTTAATCGCCACTAAATGCAATGAAGATCTTCAGCGCATCTTTTTTTTTTTTTAAGCTTTATTTTATTCGCGGTGCCCTTCTTTGTGCTTGCATGCATATCATCCCGATTAGGGTATTTTGGGGAAGGGTTTTTTTTCGTTGCCGAATTATCAATGGAATGTTAATTAGTGATGATAATAATAATTATTAGTATTAAAGAAATATGCAAGCGCGTAGTGCATTGTGCCGTTTTCTCATTCACTGGTGACTTGGGAAACTGTCCTCACTGTTTTTCCGCAGCACGAAGGTATATTTCAGATGTTATGTAACATACGGGGAAGATGGGAACCGCGATCGCTGTCATATTCATGTCACATATCAGTAACGGAGCGATGCACATCCGGCTGTAGCAGCCTTACTGCGATCTTAACAGTGCCGCTCCCGCCTGGAATAGCCGACCCCGCTACACCTGCCTTTCAGTCCATTCATGCCGGTGACCTGAAGCCTGCTCCTCGGGTTCTCGGCGTGAATTCAAGGCTCTTGCTTTGACAGGCGCCCGTAGTAAACGGGTCACCGTCAAGCAGAGTATTGGGTTAGAGCTGCAAGCAAAGCGCTGCGAACGCATCCTGACTGCAAAGCTTGCGCGCGGAATGTGTCCAGGCCGAAGCAGCTACTTTGACTGCAAACAGCAATATGAGGTTTGGGGAATCCTGTCCTACACGGTGTATCATATAAAAACCCAGGAGCTGACTCAGTCTTGCGTGCTTTTTCACATTCCTGTTGCCTCCCTTCAAAGTTAACATTGTTTTGTAGTCAGAGCTCCACTGCAGAAAAATGCTCTTGTTTGTAAATGCTGGGTATTCTCATGTGTCTCCAGTATACAAACACCTGAATATTACACCAGTGTTTCTTCGCTGTATGATAATGATGCATTATTTACGCCAGTAGAATCTGCCAGGAATGGTAATGCTGATTTTTCATTCCATTTGAAGGTGGTAATATCCGTCCCCTGTTCCTAACTTCAGATGTTGGTTATTCATATCACCGTTACGAACGCAATGACTGGGAGCTGGCTTTAGAGAGGACATCTTTGTCCTCTTTAGTGAGATTTTGCTTATCTTACTGAAGCCAGGGCTGGGCATGCAGACTTTTCATGTTTTTATTTATTATTCAATTCCTGCTTTGGAACTGGAGGAAAAAAAGGTGAGAAAAATCATTTGTGGGGAAACATCAAAGGATTCTGAAGAGGCAGGAAGAAAGGGAGTAAGCGTGAGAATTAAAGACGTGCGTACCTGAGAAGCTCAGCTCTTTAAGTGAGAACGAAGCGATTCAGACGAGCAGTGAAATTAGCATGCCTGACAGTGTTTACCTGTCACCCCAATGTGGAGCTATTAGGCCTTACATAACCAAACCGCGTGTGGAGATCCTTTTAGAATCAAGCTCCGCTCTGACATTATACTCGCTTGAGGTGTGATTTCAGTGCCTCTGGGGATCTTTGGACAAGGTCTCATCAGCGTTGGAAATCGAGGTGCAGAGTCATTATCAGCACATCGCAGATGTTTAGGTTTACAGATGCAGGATGTGTGCACACCTTCTCATGGATGGCGAGAAGGTGTGGCCGGTCATTCTGATGCACGCCCCTGTTCTACTGCACTCTTGCTGTGTAGCAGAGAGCGTGGGCTACCAGAACGACTGCACAGTGCTCTCAGCATCGGTGTCAGCGCGTCACGGGAGTCTGCGTAGCGGCCCGGATGCCTCAAAGTTCATCGGGCGGTCGAGGAGATTGTGTCCGACGGATCAGACAAGAGGGGACGGCTGCGTACCTCAGCGGCGATGACGAATCCTTTTAATGAGGCCTCTGAGCAGAGCAGGAGCAACACAGTGTGCTTTGAGCTGATGGATCCATTCGGTCTGATGCATGTTTCAGCTTATTCCTGGAAAATAGCCTTGCAGATATCCAAAGAAGCAGATTCCATCCCACGGATCCTCGTGCGGGAAAGAGTTGTGGTTCGGCAGCAGTCAAACACGGGGATCTGATGGTAAAATGCCGCCCAGGTGAGAGAGCCACCGTCGCTACGGCGACAGCCCTCGATGAGGGCCCCCATCACCCCAACATCATCTCGCTTTTGTGGCGAAACACCGGTATGCAGGGGTTGTTGTGAAAGCGGAGGGAGCTGAACTTTGCAGAGAGATGTTGTATCCCTTGGTAACCTGCTTATTATGGAATGGCTTCTGTAGGTATCCAGTTGGATCAGCAGGTGTAGCTGAGGGATGTAAACTGCAGCCTTCTGGTCATGAATCTAACATGTAGCTTTGGGTCATGGAGCCCGCTCAGGGAGGGGTACCGGGGACGTCCCGCTCATCCTCACGACCCTCCACATATCAGCCGGTGCCACAACCTGCATCACGGCACTTTTTTCCAGAAAATGAAGGACAGCATTTGGCCATGATTGGCATGACCACTGACCGAAAAGTGACCGGCTTTACGGAACCAGAGGCTGCAGGATGTGGAGGGTTCACTTATCCTGGAGATCTGTCGCTGAGAAGTGTGTTAGGGGGAGGCATCTCATTCGGCTTCCACTCTGCTTCCTGCATCGTTATGCTGTATTCACGTCCCTATCAGCATCTCTGTGTTAAGTTCAACATTCACAGATACAGACTGTCTGATTTTGTATTTATAAAGCAGATAACGTTTTGCCTGAAGAAAAGTACATACTACCCATGCAGTATAAACATAATTTTATGAATCTCTCTTACTCTTGTATGCGTGTTCTAGGTGAGACATTGCTGTTTGTCTGACTAGTAACAGTAAGCTTCGCTGCCTTAGGCTTCTTCTCACTGCATTTCCATAAACGGTCCTCCAGATGCTGACGGGAATAGACCCCGAGCGAGTATTTCTCCTGCCCACTGCTTCTGAAGGGCACAGCAGAGACTTAGCGCTTTCCTGCGTGGCATGGGAAGAGCTTTATAAATTATGGCGCAGTGGCCTAGCACCGTGTGGTGCCCACGTAGAGCCGAGAGGGGCCAGGCAGGGGCCGGGTGTCCGCGTAGAGCCGAGAGGGGCCAGGCAGGGGCCGGGTGTCCGCGTAGAGCCGAGAGGGGCCAGGCAGGGGCCGGGTGTCCGCGTAGAGCCGAGAGGGGCCAGGCAGGGGCCGGGTGTCCGCGTAGAGCCGAGAGGGGC